TTTTAATTGTATCTGTGTTTAATCAGATGAAATATTTTTGTCTCTGTGGCTTTAATAACTTCTAAAGTAAAATCAGTTTTTATGTTTCTCAGGTAACAATGTGTCGACTGACTGACAGACAGGTATACTGTATTCATGTTCTTGTAAAATCTCTTGTAATATATTACAGAATAATGTTAAATAAAAGTGAATATATCCTTTTTCACCTATATGGAAATAATAATTTATTTAGCCAAACAACTTCACTGAGTTGATGCTGCCATCTAGTGGTTATAAAGAATTTAATAAACYAATATCTTTGATTAACAAATCAGGTTTACAGTAATTTAATCTCACAGAAAACAATATCATTGTCAGATTGAAACATCATAAATTATATAGTATATTAATGAATAATATATTTAACAAGTAAAACCTAATAATCAACAGTAATGATAATGAACAATCGAACCTGTGATCACATTGTTTGGGTGTCAGTTTTTTAACCAAACTTTTATTTAAATTGAGCTTTTTTCTTTCTTTTTCATAGCAGTTTGATCTCATGTTGTCCTCACATGATGCCTTGCAGAACTCCACATCTAATTTATCAAGGGATGAACTCAGATGAAACTCCGGGGAAATTTAAAGAATCACTCATTAATAATCAAATCCAATTAAAGTGCAAACAACAGCCATTTATTGATATAGTATTTCATATTACAGCAATATATTTCTATTAAATACATATGTACTCYGCCTGTGTGTGTTTATAGGTAGGCATTTTACATTCATGTCCAGTTTCAGTGCAGTGGTGAAGTCTGAATCTGTGAGAAAAGAGCAGACATCAGCTTTTCATCTGAAATCTTAGGTTTTTTTTTCCACTCACAAATAAATTCTCTGATCTTCCTGTATTTTGGTTTCTGAAGAACTGACTGAATCTCATTAAAGGAGGGGTAAAGTGGTAGTGGCGAGGCCCTCCTCAGTGATAACGCAGTGTGGAGAGGTAGGCACAAGGGTCTAATCAGGTACAATCTGAGGTTATAAACAGGTCCACATTGAGCCAGTAAGATTTATCACAAGCTGGTTTGTTCCACACCTGAAATGAAATAAATCCTGYAGACGTTACTGGTCTTAGACAGCAAACGCAGCTAATTTGAACCACATGGTCTTGAGCTTGAAAAAAGGCAAACATACCATCTATACGAAGTTATTTATCTCTAATGTTGTGCTCTGTGCTTTCTTGAATCCCACGTTTTTAGCTTTTCCAGAAACAGATCGCTAAATACAGTTTAACTTGTCAGACAAAAAAAATATTTATTTCAAGGAACTCATTTTAGGTGCTCAGAATAAAAGACGGATTTGGAGTCTTGGGGTTTCGAGGCATTCATGCTTGTGTCGGTGAAGCAGCAGTAAGGGTCCTGGTGACATTTTGTGGTCGATCAAAGTGTGTGGTTTCATCCTGGTCTCCAGAACAAACTSTCTGTCTCTTGTGGTCAAACGGGGCTGAGAGTTGTCACAGCTGATGGGGGGAAAAGCATTTTCAATTTGGGTGTTTCTGACATGTTTGGATCCTGAGGCACGTCCGTGTGAGACAGAGGGTGAGCTGTTTTTTTTTTTTTTTGTCAAGAGTTCAGGCTATGTAGCAGCTGATGACAAGTTTATTCTATCCAGCTTTATCTGCTTCAAATTTGCACAATGACATCAAAACAGGAGCCAGTTTTGTCCCGTTCCAGGTGGCGCACATTTTTCAAGAAAAAAAAAAACCGAGTCCAACCTGTCCGGTTCCTCTGCAGAGCTCCGGCTGGAAGCTGCTGGAACCTCAGAGGAACGGGTTGTGGCTGTGAGYCTGAGTCTGAGTGCGCGGGGTGGATCGTGGTGACAGAGGGAGCAGGGGCTGAGGGAGGTTCGAGGGGAGGTCCAGGAGTCCAGCAGGAGGCTGTGTGAGGGAGGAGGGGAGGATGGGGGCCTGGTGGAGCAGAGGGAGGGGCAGCGACGGGCTGTAGGGCAGCATGTGAGGGGGCAGCGGCGAGGTGGAGCACGGGCGCATCTGGTTGAGAGTGAGGCGTGGCTGGTCGCAGTGGAACGGGTTGGTGGGGGACGGTGCACTCAGGCCTGTAAAAATGGTTCATTTTCAAAAATCAGATTTAAGCCAAGTCAACAAAATTCTGATAAGATCCCAGCTGAATGTATGTCTTTGTATTACCTGAGAGGAAGGGGTTATTCTGCATCTTCCCAGGAAGTTTAGGCGGTATCAGAGTGTCTAAATTGACCAACGAGGCCCCCGTGGGTCCTAGAAAAGCCTCTGGGGTCCCACAAACGCGTGCAGGCGGGGCGCTGAGGGGGGGTGCTAACCTGGACAGGTCGAACATCTCTGGGCTATCCAACTCCCTGCCGTTTACCAGAGGCTTCACCAGATGGTCTGTTCTAAACCGCTCCAACTTGGGGTCTTGGTCAGAAAACAAGTCAGATTCAGGTTTGATTCCAAACAGCTCAGCATCTGCAAAACAAGGAAGATGAAAGCTTTAACAGCCCAATTTACAGCAAGTCTTCAGAAAAAGTCCCAAGTTTATACACTTCAAGGGATCCCAGGTTAGTTGTAACATTAGACTTTATTTGATAAACATATATTTTAACTGTAAAATAAAGACTGTAAAAATACTGTA